TGCCCTTCAGGTCTGGAATTGAATGCACACCTATGGCTTCCAGCCAAACAATAGACAGGCCTATCAATTGAGCATTTACCTGAGGTAGATACACTCCTTGGAGAGAATAAGCAAGAGAGAAAGAAGGGCTGCTCAGGCACAGGGAGACAGCTCACGGGGTAGGAGTGCATGGAGAGATGGACACAGGGAAGAAGTAACTATCAGGAAGAAGTGGGAGGGGAGATGTTATATTGTGGTAAATTGTGGTCAGTGTCATGAGACAAAGTGTATGTGAACTGCTGTATGGAAAGTGTATTTGCGCTGTAAATTTTCACCCAAATCACAATTAAAAAAAAAAAAAAAGAAAATTTAATGTCTTAGCAATACTCAACCAGTAATATGCCAGCCTGATGATGTACTATCAAAAGAAAATGTGAATTTCTCTTAATGAATACTTAGATTTTAGAAGTTGTACAGTGGTGAATGTGGAAAGAGCACTATGGGCTTATTAAGGCTCTCATTGGGGAGTACTAGAGGCACAGTAAGGAGCTCTGGTAGCATAGTGGGTAAAGCACTTGACTGCTAACCAGAAGGCTGGCGGTTCAAACCCACCAGCCACTCCTCGGAAGGAAGACTAAGCAATCTACTTCTGTAGAGGTACCACCTCAGAAACCCAAGAAGGGATCACTATGAGTCAAAATCTACTTGACTGCAGTGAGTGTGGTTTTTGGTATAGAGGTGCAGTACACCCCTACAGCCCTGTTTCTTACATACAGTGTAACAAATACATCAAAACTGTTTTTTATAGAGACAGTATTTGGTGGTCACTGAATAGCTTTCAAAATACATTTTTGTATTATAGCACTATACAAGCTATTAACGGTGATCTGGCCTCAAATCATCCCTGCAAAGCTGTCTTAAAGTGGAGTTATTTTGTAATGTGTAAGCTTTAAGTAACTAAGAAAGTAAAACCAAACCAAACTCAATGCCATCGAGTTGATTCCAACTCATAGCCACCCCATAGGACACAGTAGAACTGCCCCCATACGGTTTCTAAGGCTGTAAAACTTTACAGAAACAGACTGCCTCATCTTGCTAGTGTGGAGCGGCTGGTGGAATCAAACCACTGATCTTTTGGTTATTGTTGTTGTTGTTACGTGCTTTCAAGTCTGACCCGACTCATAGCGACCCCTCCTTGGGTTTCCGAGGCATTATCACTATGGAAGTAGATTGCCTCATCTTCCTTCTGAGATCTTTTGGTTAGCAGTGTACTACTTTAACCACAGCACTACTAGAACTACCCTAGGAAAGTTAGCCAAGTAAATACATATAATAAATTTGTTGCATATGTAAAATTTTGTTGGCTTTATCCTAAAAAATTAGACTATTTTATTATGAATTTGCTGAATGTAAGACCATGGACTATTTTTTATAATATGGCCAAATTTTAAAAGTTCAAAGTAATTTGGTTTTGAAGTTTACCCTTGTGCTAACATGCTAGTGTATGTATAA